GGCAGGCGCGGTACTTTGGAGCCCGTAATGCGATATTTCGTGGCAGGTGCAGGACTTGGTCGCTTCAGGTCGCTGATTCCTTGCGCCTGCCATGCAACTGACAGTCACACACAGTCAACACACAGTCAACACGACAGTCAACACGAGCACTTTTCCTGAGAATTCTCAGTCGAAGCGCATTTTTGGACAGTTGAGACGCCCTCTATTTTGAAGTCTTGCTGTGCTTGACTTGGAAAGGTGGAAGCCACTCGTGCGCAAAGCTCAAGGGAATTGAAGCGCCAGAGGTTGGGGAGATGTGTTCAAGTGCAGGGAGCAACAGATGCGCGGATGAGAGAAACAATTATACCACATAATACGCATACCTACTACATGATAAGCATACATACATACATACATACATAGATACATACATACATACATACATACGAGTGGAACTGCAGTAACAGCGTCATGTACATATATGGGTGAATTAGCACTCACGTTGTCTGAATACATGCTTTGGCTCAAGACGCCAATAGCCCAGGAAAAAGGAACGCACCTCGCAGTGCATGCAGGAACCAACCGTTGTGCGTTCCAAAACGTACTTTTGAAACCATCATCCAAATTGTCCACCGAATCACCCGTTTTGCCTTAGCAACTTCCTCGGAACAAACAGTTTAGACGACCATTCTTGGGCCAAAAAGTGGTTGAATAACAGGAAACAAATTGCTGGGACTTGTCCTTGTACTCCGTGGTGGTAAACTGTTGCGACGTCAATGGTTTCTTTGATTCCCTGCTGTTCGTCGAGTGAAAAGTCAATGGCCCCTGTCATAATGATCAGTGATAAATCCGAGTAATCTCCATTCTAAACTCAATCCAAGGACTTGTTCATTTCAGGATGCATTGAAATCTCTGGGACTGGATATTGAAATGGGATGAAACACGCGTTTGATGTCATAATGTTGCTGGCCCATCTCAAAAATGCCACTTGACAGCCCAGGGGCCAGGAGTCAGGGTAAGGGAATCATGAAGGCATCCAGATTTGGAACAAGGAAACCACACCATATTTTTGGAGGCGCTGTTTGCGCACAGTCCTCAGATTGTTGACGGTTGTTGTTGCTAATCAACTTCATCGAATTCAACATGAGTCACTGCTGGCTGGTTGCGAAGCATTAACCACGTTTACAATGCATAATAATATATATATACATATACATAGACATATATATATATACATAATATAAATATATATATAAATAAATAGATATAAAAAATAAAAAATAAACATAAATATATATGTATATGTAAATATATCTATATATATATGTAAATATATCTATATATATAATGATCGTAAACGTCAACGAAAAATAACTCTTAACAGTGTCCTCAATCTTCGCACAATCGGAATTGTTCGCCATTGAAAAGTTCAGCGATGTCATCCATGGGCGCTCAACCAATGAGTCAATCTATCTAGTCTCTTAATGTCCCATGACCATCTTTCTACTGCTTCACTGCCATTTGCTCTCAACAACTCCCACAAAAACAACAACGACAACAACAACAACAACTCCCACAAAAACAACAACGACAACGACAACAACCACAACAACAAGCACAACAACAACGACAACAACAACAACAACAACGACAACAACAACAACAACAACCACAACAACAACAACCACAACAACAACAACGACGACGACGACGACAACAACAACTCCCACAAAAACAACAACGACAACAACAACAACCACAACAACAACCACAACAACAACAACGACAACAACAACAACGACAACAACAACGACAACAACAACCACAACGACAACAACAGCAACAGCAACAGCAACAACAGCAACAACAACAACAACAGCAACAACAACAACAGCAACAGCAACAACAAGAACAACAACAACCAGAGGAACAACAACCAGAGGAACAACTGCCCAAACTGCGCCTTGTCACTCTTGTTGTTGGTGGTGGTGTTGTTGGTGTTGTTGTTGTTGCTGCTGATTGTGTTGGGGCTGATTTTGTTGGGCGAAATTGGAGGGTGAGTCCCCAAACTCCCCCGCGGGGCCGGCCTGGTGTCCCCCGGAAGGGGGCCGGCCCCGGGCTGGTTTCGGTATCTGCCATCGCGCTCGCGCTTGGGTGCCATGGGAGCGGCAGCGAGAAGTGTCCGGGAGATGAAAACACAGTGCCAGGATAGTTTGAAATATGAGTTTCTGCGGTTGCAAGCAGTTTTAGCCAACAACTTGGACTTCTGATCCGCTTTGTTCACCAAGTCAGCAGGTTGCTGGGTGGCGTTCGTTCAACATTATGTTGGTGATTACCCAGCCCCGCCAAAGCATGGTGCAAATTTCCTCTCCACCGCAGGCCCTGGGCTATGTTCTTGACCCTTCATGAGATGGCCATACGTGTAATTTATTGTACCTATCATTGTAAGGACAGGGTACCGGGATCATATTTGATGTACCAGCAGGATAGCATAAGTTACCTGAACTTTTTGGGTGAAGCCTATCTTGTGTTTGCGTTGTTTCCTTTTCAATTTGAAATAACATTCACTAGTGGCGCAGTGCGTGGCACAAGGAAATGAAAAGCAACTCCACAAAAAACAACCATGCTGTTGTTCAGTTGTTTCAAGAATCAAGATTAGGCATTTCACACGGACAACTTCCAGGATATGATTTGATGTATGAATTCCAGGGGTTCCCAACTCAGCTCTGGCTGATTGGTGCCTGCCATGGGGACCATGACATTTGAAAGTATCGGGAACCGACACATTGAACGACACAGAGTGACGTTAAGTGTCCATGTGTTCCATGTCTGCAAGATCTGTGCAGTGTGGTCCTTCAGCTTCACCTGTACATGTGCTGGGTCGAAGGTCTACAGGACAGTCATGAAACATGTCATGAAAGCAAACATCTGCGGCCGGAAAGCGCCACACCTCTTAAAGTTCATTCCCTTTGTAAGCTGCAAAAAAGAAAATCCCGATCTCCAGGCAACAACTATGCACCCAAAAAATGCCCATTGTCCAATCTTCCTGGAAGCATTGCAAACAAGCTTTACCCCAAGAACGGTAGTGTGGCCTGTGCTTCTCTGCGCCGCTTGGTTGCCAGCCACGCTCACATGCGATGGAGCGAGCAGCTCTAGCCCAAAGCTGAAGCCAATGCCTTTGCAGCGACGCGATCAGTGTGTCAGTTTGTTTGCATGTCCGCCTGTGTCTGGAAAATCCATCAAGAGTCTGACCGTTTGCTGTTGTTGTGGCTCACTCTCCTTTCAACTCTGAGTCCTCTGTTTCCGCAATCATCCAGCACCCAATTTCATTCACCGAGTTTGTCTTGGTTTGTTTCGTCAGAAGATTGTGAGCCTGTTGAGGGTTTTTTCATCCTCCAAAGGAGGGTTTTTCCCTCAACTTGCACCAAAGTATGCATGGTTTGCTAAAATGATTGATGAGAAGGACATCAAAGCGATTGAGATGATGGGACGAACATGTCTTGTCCGTTTGTTTTTTGACATTTGATGTGATCGTTGTGGTGTGGCGTAAGTGCTCGTGTTGACTGTCGTGTTGACTGTGAGTTGACTGTGAGTTGACTGTCAGTTGCATGGCAGCTATATAAGGTATAGCAGGTTCCAAACACGGCAACAGTAGATACCGCGAAAAAGACGTGGAGAGGTGCCCCCTTTGTGAGGTTGTCACAGGTTGTGTTGACTATGGATATAGCATGACGCCGATCAACGTTGCCAAAAAAAATCTCCCCTAGTAGCGATGCACTTGTTACTAGTAGCGTGGCACTTGTTACTACTAGTAAGGCACTTGTTACTAGTAGCGATGCACTTGTTACTAGTAGCGTGGCACTTGCTACTACTAGTAAGGCACTTGTTACTACTAGTAAGGCACTTGTTACTGGTAGCGATGCACTTGTTACTAGTAGCGTGGCACTTGTTACTACTAGTAAGGCACTTGTTACTAGTAGCGATGCACTTGTTACT